AATTTGCAGCCTGCCCTGGAAATATGGGGCAGACACCATGGTGGCTGAGGTTGTATTGTGTATGAGAAAGCCATGCACGTCTGTGGCAGGAGCAAGGATCCAGGGCCAGGAGAGAGCCTTTGTGTGCATGTGGTGAGTGGGATGGAAAGCAGAGAGCGTTTCATGCCTCAGCACTGGAGCGACAGGCACTGAGTAAGCAGGGCCAGCACATCTCTGAATGTGCCTCCCCACTGAATTCCTCTTGGGGAGGTGGAAATCTGCTGCTTCATGCGGAGAAAAGTTATGTAGACAAGCTGTGTTTTGGTGCCTGGTTTTGTGCAAAACATGGAAATCCTTTCCTGCCTGGTCTCTTTTCATTCTTTTTGCTGTCAGTCATTGCACATGTCATCAGTATCTGTGGCAAAGACTTCACAGTCAGGGCACCAACCTACTGCAGCCTCCAGTGTGTGAAAAGCCGCATTAACTTGAAGATTTTCACATGAGAACTGCTCATGATTGATGGGACATAGTGTGCAGTCATTAAAACCAGAAATGTGTGTCTGGAACCCCTCACTGGTGTCCGGGATTAAAGAGACCGTAACAAACTGCATTACTGGTGAACATGTGACATGTGAGCAAGCATGGGGGTTTGTGCTGGGAGCCTTGTTTCTGCAGCACAGTTCAACTCACTTCAGGAGCCAGGAAGGAGACAATTTGTGCAACATGCTTTGGGAAGGTTCATCCAGCCTGGTGCAGTACCCAGAATGCTCTTATTTGCATCCTGCTGAGCTAGGATGCAGATGACAAGGTGCAAACTCCACACAACCAGGTATAATGCAGGTTTTTCTACTGGGTTTCAGTGTGCTGCCTTCAGTGCTGCACTCCAAACAGCTGGCTTTGTTGCAGTGCAAGCTGCTGTCACGTTAGCTGGTGTCAGATGCCAGCCATTTACAGTATACGCCATCACAGCATGACTTAAGTTGGCAACACAGAGTCAATCACATGCCAGCAGCCTACTGTAAGGGTGGGGGAGTATGTGGGAAGAAATGGGGAGAAGATACTCATAAAATCTTTTAATGATTTATTTTTAATATCCATTTTTCAAGCCTTGGAAAGTGCAGTCCATATGCTTTTCCCTCCTGGTTGTAGTTGGCAAAGAAGCAGATGAACATGGTCCTTCAGACTCCTTCCATTTTGTGAAGAGCCAGAAAATACAGCTATATTTAGCATGTTGCCAAGGCCAGCAGCAGTCTGTTACTGGGTGGTGATTCCCTGGCTGCAGGCTTGTGTGCCACCTGGGACAGGGTGGGAATGTGCCTGTCCTGGAGTCAGTACTCAGGCTAAATTGACAGCAACAAATTTCAAATTTCCAGTTACAGGAGAATGGCTGCACTGGTGCCAGCAGGCTCAGTGTGCTGCTTACCAGCACAGATCAGTTTTTGAGCACCAACCCCCTACCAACATGTGCAGTGGCCACTCCAGGTGCTGTAATGCTGCTTTTTGGTGCAACACTCAGCTTGGAGAATGCCTCATTTGGTCTTCTGTGCACAGGAACTGTCCTGTGCCTTGTGCTGAGCTTTCGATCTGCTGGAGCCACAGCTAGTCCCTGCAGGAAAGTTGTGCCTTGTAGCATAAATATGCTCATCTAAAACTGGGGGCCTAACTCCTGTTGTATTTTCTCATGTTGTATTCCTAGGCCACTCAGGTATAAAATGGAGTTGTCCTTATTTAGCCCCAAGCCCAGTATCCACACAGCAGATTTGCTACCAGTTCCCTGTTGCTTTCCCTGCTGTGTTGCAGCTGGTACTGAGGAGTTAAAAATGGCAGCTTCTCTGTCCTTCTGGCAGCTTTTGTAGAGCTGAAATTGGTCTTGAAGATTGTGTGTGTTTCTGGGAAGTACCAAGAGCTGGGTGTTGTGATGGAAGGGTAGAAGAAGGGCTCACCCCTACACTGTTGGCGTTCAGGGGTTATTAGTGGTGCCCATCACTATAGAGCAGCGTCTTGAAAGTTGTTGCATAGCAGGATATCTAAACTGGGAGCATTTTGTGACACTCTTGTCACATCACCAATTCCTAAAATTCATTGTCTGAGAGATGAAGAACTTACTGTGGTGCTGTAGAGGGGAGCTCAACTCAGCTGTGGTTTCCAATATGCCCCAGTGAAACACAGTGGTTGGTGGTGCCCAGGATGAAAATGTGGGTGAGGAGGAGTTAGACCAAAGGCATGGGTTTGAATCTGAGTGTATCAGTGATTCATTTAGTCTTTCTGAGCCCTCAAAGGCCTGCCTCACAGCATTTCACAGCCTTTGCTCTGCAGCAGCATCTGCACAGCTCTGTTTCTTACAAATACATGTCCTTGAAACCAGTAGCACTGTGTGGGCACTGGTTTCAGCTTGCAGACTGTCTGCAAGACCAACACCTCGTGCTGTATGGTGGTTTTTTTTATTGGTAGTAAAAATATTCTGTTTGTAGAACCCCCTGTTGGAATTAAGCAAACTGCTTTGAGGAAAAAAAATAGAACAAAGCTTCACACCAAGCTGGGGTTGCTGGTATCAATGATATTCACAATTTTAGTTGAAATAGCAAAGTCCTTCTCAAGTTGAAGTCAACTGTGTAAGTATTGTTTACATAAAATAGTGGTTCTTTTTTTCATCTTCTCCATTCCTGCAGCGTAGAAGCATCTACACAGATTTATTCCAAATTTGGTAGAAATAAGTGTTTCCCCAACCCAAAGCACTTGTGCCAAGTTCCAGTCAGGAGGAGTTTCTGAGGCTGATGTGTCCGTGGAGGCTGGAGCAGCTGCCTGGCCATGGGCAGCCCGTGGTTCCATGGGGTCTGCTCCTGGTCAGCAGCAGCCCTGCAGGAGCTGTGACGGTGGGACACTGCAGATGTGCTCTGAGGCTGAACCCTGGGCTCCTGCTGGGTCCCAGGTGATGGGAAAGGCTGTAGAGAGGCCTGGGCCTGTGCGGCATGAGAAGGATGACCCAAACCTGCCCAGTGTTCTCCTTGCAGATTAATGCAGTTATTTCCTTTGTAGTGGCGCTGGGTGTCTGAACACTGGCCAGCTGCAGTGGTGCCATTTTACCCTCACTTCACACAGATGTGAGAAAGTGTCTGGTGGTGAAGATTCCTGTCCTCAGGGCCTGTGAGCAATTAACTCACTGCTGGGGATCTGGAGCTGTTGGATTGCTGAGAAGCCAAAACAATAGCATTAAAAAGCCTCTTTCTTTTTGAGTTGGGTTTTTGGGAGCCACTGGGCTCTTTTAGGAGCAAGGCAGAGCATTCCATTCCACCAAGCCAGGCTGCTAAAATTTGGAAGTAGTTTTTTTCCTGTCCCAGTGGCTTTATCCCATCACTTCTTGCATTTAATGATTTGCCTTTTGTTTAACTCTGATCTCCTCGGAGCAGATAAGAGAGGAGGCTGTTCCCATGACACATGTCAAACAGCTCCTTTTAAGCTGCAGTCAGACTGCAGCCCTCTCCCCACTGAAGCTGTTATCCCCACTGGGAAGTGGGGCAGAGTAAAGCTTGGAAATCTCAGGCTGCTCTACAGCAACCTGGCACGCTGGGGAGCCTGGCTGGAGATTCAATACCAGCCCCTGCAGTGGGTCATGGTGTTGGCTTTTTGCAGTGGTACTTGGACTGTCCCATGATTTCACCTGTATGCTTGCAAAAACCTTAAAGAATCCCCAGGGGAGTATCCTGGGTGCATCAGGGGCTGATCCCAGGAGGTTCCTTGGGTGAGTGATGGTAACTGCTGTATCCTTGTGGACCTGGTTATGGGGTTACAGCTCTGCTGCACGTGATCCTGCTAACAGGGGCAGGTACATGGGGTCATCTGATGTGCCCCTTTTGGAAAGCAAATTTAATGACACTGAGACTGAGAACTCTGCGTCCAGCCCTTGATGACTGTGCCTGGGATAGGCTGGGTAATGGATGGTCCTGTGCCTTTCCTGGCTGCCGGAACCGTTATTAATTATCTGTCATGGAACAGCTCTGTGGCCTCCAGGTCTGGCTTATTTTAATAGGCTTTGAATAGCTCAAAAGAATTTGTTCCTCAAAAAAGTCACAGTTTTTGCATAAAGTTATATTAAGTATTTCATGTTTTCTGTATACTTCTTGTTTCTTGAGGAACAAATTCAAAAAGAAAGGGGGAGAGAGAGAAAAAACCTCATTTTTCCAGAACTGTTTCATCTTAATGGCAGCATTTGTTACTAACTTTTTTACTGACTGATATTTAGTGGTATCGATCTTCTTATGTCTACTTGCAAACACTATTAAAGCACAGTTTATACATGTTTTTTAAGTAATGATCTCAGTTGATTTGCAAAGATACTATCAGTGATCTCTTGCCTTTTAGGAGCCATTGGCATGGCCAGTGTTTATTGAAGAGGGGAAGGAGTCAGTGATGCAACACACATCACTTTTGATAAATGAAAGCACGAAGGGGGAAAATAATTTCGGTTCTTCCTCCTGTGACTGCCAGTTCTCAGCATCTTGGGGTACCCACATGTTGTGGATCAGGGGTGCTGCCTTACAGAGCTGTCCTCTTAAAGTTTTATCCAGTGCAGCTAGGGAAGTGGTAGAGACAGTTTTGTTTCTTCTGTCTGGTTGTCAGGGCCAATTAAGTGGTCTGGTGTTGGAAAGGAAGGGAAAAGCAACCCACGCAAGGAAACAGGGAATTTTTGTTGTTGTTTCTGGAACTGTTGCCACTAGTTTCTGAAAGTATCGGTGTTTGTGTTAGATTGTTTGGGGTTTTTTCTTACAACAATCATTTTAACATCAGGAAGCCTGACTTCTTGGTTTAGCTTGATAGTATTCAGTTAGTGTTACTGCAGGAGAAGTCATGTTGCTCTTCTCTTCACCTGCTATAGAAAAATCACAAAAGAGGCACAGTAGCTACCAAGCCGCCTCCGCCTCGATGATTGTGTTGTTCCAGTAACCCAAACAATCCTTAATTAAATTTCTCTGGCTGCCCTGGGTGTTACATTCACTGAAATGCTGTTCCATTATGTTTTTTAGGGCCGGTGTACCCGAGAGAACTGCAAATATCTCCACCCTCCCCCACATTTAAAAACACAACTTGAAATAAATGGACGCAACAACCTGATCCAGCAGAAGACGGCCGCAGCCATGTTTGCTCAGCAGATGCAGTTCATGCTCCCGGGCGCGCAGCTACAGCCAATTGTGAGTTACAGCCCTGGGCCTGTCGGGCTCACACTGCTCCCTGTCCCTCTCTGCTTGGTCACAGAGGCCCCAGCCCTGTGCCCGAGCTCAGGCCATTGCCTGTGCTGCACAGAACTGGGCAGAATCTTCCAGAGGAGTGAGTGTCTGATGCTACCTTTGCATCTCCTTGAAAACTGTGTCTCTCTTTTCCTCTGATAACTGAGGAGCTGTGAGATTCAGGGCTTCAAGTGGAGGGTCTTGCCACCAGGTGCTTATTTGACCATCCCAGAAGTTCTGAGTGGCTCAATACCAGTGGATCCTGTTTTGGATAGGTGTTTTTCACTGAGATGGGTCTGACTCCCTTGGACTAGTTGTGTGGCACTGTTGGACTAAAACTGGGGAAGATGAATCCTACCTAGGCTTTAATCCATTTTACTGTCTGGGAGTGAGACCATTTCACTGCAGTTGTCTCAGCAGAGTTGTACTAATGTCACAGCCCTGTCACTTGTTTTTCACAGTAATGCTGATTTAGAGTTAGAGCAGGAAGGATTTGCTTCTTTACAGGTAGGAAGGGAAGCTTGTGGGAGATAGGTGTTTGCAGAGCAGGTAGTTCTGAGAAGCCTTCACTGCCTGTCCCTGCTCTTGCTTGTCAGTTAAAACAGGTTTCAGGCTGGAGAACCCTGTTACACCAGGGAGAGGATGGCTTGTGTCTGCTGGTTGGAGTATCTGGGAGGGGATGACACTTGTCAGCTGAGTTTTAGTCTGTCACAATGTATATTTTAAGAACTGTCAGAGGTCTTGAAGCAGCTCTTCGATGCTGATGTGAATAAGCTGCACTGAGAGTTAATTAGAGTTCTCAGTTTAAAGTTGGGACTGAGTATCTTTCCTGGGGCAGTGTGCTGTAGCTGGGTGAGACTCCTTGTGCTGTGCCATGTGGGAGGACTGGCCAGATCTTCAGACAAACTCTTCTAGCCTGAAGGTGTCAAGTCTGTGAACCATCCTGAACTTGGCCTCCTGGTGTCCCACGTACAGCGTCTGGCCTCTCTGCCCATGTGGGACACAGCATCTGTCACCCCAGCTGAAAAGCTCAGGTGTTTCTGGTTTATTCTCACCAGAGAACAGTGAAGGATTCCTCCTCATTGGAGGCTGTTGTGATGTTTGGTGTAAGAGCTTGTGATGGAGATTTCTCTGTTTCAGCAGGGAAAGCTGGGCAGTGTCCCTTCATGATGGTGCTCTGCCACCAGTCTGGGCCATTTCCTTAGTCTGGCATGTTCCTCCTGTGTTTTGAGGGGTTTTCCATGTTTGCCATCACTCTGACCATCTTGTGTGTCTGGTAGTAGCTTTATCCTGCCCTATAAGCTAAGAAAACACTGTTTATTCTTCCCATTTTGAAGATGGAAAGTTGAGACGAGCAAATTGGCCACAGAAAAGGTCTTTAGTTGTTCTGCACCTTAGGCTCTTATCTGCTGTAGTCTTGTACCTCTTTTTTGTGAAGTTTGAAAGTATATCCACATCAGAAGGAATCCTGAATTCCCACAAAATAGTGACATTGGTTTCCAAGCCCTCTACCAAAAGCAAACCCTTCCTATTTGGAGTTTTCCTCTGTGGGGAATTCATGGTGCATATTCTTTGGCTGGCTATTCAAAGTATCTTTGGGATTTCCTTTTTGGAAAGTTCCCATCTTCCCACTTTGCAATCTTGCAGGTCCAGTATGCTCCTAAATTTCATTCCTGCCTTTTAAATTGCCTCTGAGACTGAATATGTTGGTTTGTCTAGTTAGTGCTCTCATTTCAGAAGTAACCTTATCTGATGAGAAAGGCCCCTGGTTTCTAAATTGTGCCATGAGGGAGACATGGGCAAAGAAGAAAAATAAAAATTTGTTCTGCAGTGACTGCTCCCTTCGTGCTTTCCCACACTTTACTCAGACTAAACAAGCTCTTGGTCTGATTCCTGCTGCCCAACTTGCTCCACACCAATTTCAGGACAAACGAGATTGCTCTTTCAACTGCCTTTGATTTCCCGAAGATGCTGTCAGTGGAAGCTGGCTCTGAGAATTTTTTTCTCTCTAAATGAGAAGGGTGGGGCCTCCTTCTGGGTACACATGAAATTCGTCAAAGCAGAAAGTATTGTATCTGATGCAGCAGCAGAACAAATCCCATGTGATCAGAAAGCTGATCAACGGGATGCCTGCTTAATTGGGATGCTTGCCAGAGATGAGATTTGAAACAGCATACTTAATGGCTCCAAACAGTAGCTGAATGCTTAAACATTTTAAAGTGCAATTTCACCAGAAAAGCTACAGAGTTAAAAAAAAAAAACAAACCACCACCAAAAAAACCCCACCAAATCCAAACCAAACCAGCACTTGACAGAGCAGCTTTTCACCAGGATTCCTGAAATGGCATTTGTCTGGGAGCTGGGCTCTGGCATTGATAGGAGGAGCTGCTTTGGTCAATGTTATATCTGGTTTCTCAGATATGGTCACTTTGCATCCTGTGTGTGCCAGTGCAAGACCACCCAAAAAGTGCTGCACCTTGGCAGCACCACCCTCTCCATCCTGCTTTATCCTTTGCAGCAGTGTGGTGCAGACTTTTGGAGCTGACCATGGAGGTGCCTCAGCCCAGGGTCCAAGTGAGGCGGTGGAACAGGGCGCTGGTTTGCCCAGTGCTTCCCCTCTAGTGCTTGATCAAGCTGTTGACAGAGCATGGCAGTGGTGACACACTCCTGCCCTGCAGCTGCCTCTGCTGCTGCCTAGGGAAGCTGTTTCCTCACTTTGTTTTCAAGCTCTTTGTCTTTTCTTAATGCCAAGGTCTTTGTAGACAGGACTGTCTTGATAGTTCTGAGTCACCCATGCCCCTGAAGACAGCCCAGACTTTAACCCAGCCCTTTGTCCCCTCCTGGGGCAGCCTGGTCCTGCTGCCACTCCTTGGTGCTGATGGAGGGCTTAAAGCAGAGGATGAGCAACTTGCTTGGCCAGTGGTGCTTGGAGCAGGTGCTGGAGCTGATTTCAACAGGTGCTTTGCACAGGTGTTTTTTCTATGCAGCAAAAATCTGATTTATATCTCAGCCTCTAGTCAAAGATACTCTAGGAATGAATAAATGCAGGTATCCTGGCCCACCCAGGAGCTGGTATCTGCCAAGAGACAGTGCTGTGGGGTGTTAACACTTGTTTTTTACACTACAGCAGCCCACAAATGAGAGATCCTTTGAGCTAGGAGTGTGTCCTTGCAGTCTGGTTGGGGAAATGAGCATCTGTGGTGGTAGGTAGCTGGATGCTTTGGCCCATTGGATTCACTCCAGCATGCTCAGCCTTCATGTTGCAGGGTGGTTTTGCAGCCAGCCAGCCCCATGAAGTTACACTGGGGGAAAGGCAGATTTTTGGGTTTTCTGACAGCATCAAGTATGTTTTTAATATTGAGGTTTTCAGTCTTGTCAGTATGAGATCTTTATCTTCAGTTTCTAACACTAGACTGTAAGCTGCCATTGTTTTTTGTGTGCTTTCCATATATAGCTGCTTAGCAGTGACCTGTCTCCCCTCCTTCAGGCTATCAACACCTCTGTATTTACAGTGGGCCTCTCATTTTCAGGCTTTCCCTTTTTTAGGGTCTGAGGTAACTCAGAATCAACACTTCCTGGCTGAGACAGTGCTTGTGTTTGACAAAACACCAACCGCTCTCCTGCCTTCCTCTTCACACCCACTCTGTGTTTCTTCTCTAGCTTTAGCACAATTTCTGCTAGCCAAATCGAATGCAACTTCTAGATTGATAACAAAATCAGCTGTTCCAGGTTCTGTTGTCACCAGTGGTGACAAATGCCCCTCTCTGGGACAGTTCCTTCTCTCTGCTCACACCTTCAACCCAACAGCTTCCATGCTTGAGGTCTGTAGGGAGCTCAGAGCTGTCCACGTCCTTGGCAGCCCTCCCTCTGAGATGTGTTCTCACAACAGCCATTTCAGCTTTTTTTAATTATTACAATTCCTACAGGTATTTTAATACTCAGTAAACCAGTCTTGTGAGCTGCTACCACCCTGAGCCCTTTGCTGCTGCACTGTAACCTGTTTCCCTCTGCACAGGAGTTACTGGTAGTGTCTCTATGCTATGATTTATAAAAGCTGATTTGCAAGGAAACCTGTCTCTGTATTTCCTGAATTAACAAGAGCTTTATGGGGGGCAGCAGGAGTGAGTGCTGATATTTTCAATCCCTCTGTTTTGCCCTAGAGCACACCAGCAATTAAGTTGAGAGTATGCTTTTTTAGTGTACAGCTATAACATTGCCGTGTCAGGCCTCTTCCTCCCACGGCTTTATATCAGGAACATGATGCCATTTGGTCTGGGATATCCCTTGGGTCAGTTGGGGTCAGCTGTCCTCTGTCCCCTCCCAACTCGTTGTGCTGCCCCCATAGTCAGCTGTCTGGTTGGGTGGGGTGAGAGGCAGAAAAGCCCTTGACACTGTGTAAGCACTGCTCAGAAACAGCAAAAGCATCCCTGAATTATCTACACTGCTTCCAGTACAAATCAAAACCACAGCCCTATACCAGCTACAGTGGAGAAAATTAACTGTATCCCAGCCAAAAGCTGTCACAGGAGGTGGACAGGAGGCACGTTGAGGAGGGCAGTGCTGTTTGGAGTAAAAATTACATTTGGGTTCTGGCTGCAAGGAGGAAATTTACTCACATTCCCTGAGGACATGGGGGACCTGCACAGACGTAGAGGAAAGAATTGGCTGGCAGCATCCCTATTACTGGTACTGATGCATGAGCCAGACTGGATTTCCCAATCCAAGACAGGCAGCCGGGTCTGGCAGTGAGCACAGCCCATCTTTTCCCCTCATCAGCCACAATAAATACAGAGCTCCCTGGTGCCAGCTCACAAAGGCACAGTTCTCAGACTGCTTCACACACTCCAGACTTAAAACCCCAGCTCTTGTAGGTTTAATATGTTGAGTGAGGTCTGCTTGTTCCCTGGCTGTGCACCCGCTTGGCTGCGAGCAGCAGCCCCAGCCTGCGGGCAGGGTGTGCAGCACAACTGGCACTTCCCATCAGGGAAACAGGCACATGCTGCAGGCAGGCAGAAGGAGCCTTGGGAATCCTTGGGAATGCAGCAGCAGATGTCAAGGCATGGAAAAGGGTGAACAAACAGCAGCAGCAATAAAAACTCCTCCTGCTCCTACGAGCACCCCTCTGCAGGTCTCCAGGATTGCAAGTGGATTGTGCTACTCAGGTGTTCCTCATGCATATCTTCCCTCCACTTGCTTCAGCTTGGGTTTTGATCCATTAGCCCTTGCTGATTGCTCCCAGTGAGAGGAGGGAATGCTTTTGAGGGAGATGGGGATTGTGTTTTGGGAAGCCAGGTCCTGCTTCCACCTTTGTAGTAGCTTTGGTGAAGAGGCTGGTATATCATCTCTTAGTGAATATTTCAGGTGAATTCACTCAGTGTGAGGTGTTGCAAGCCCCCAGCATTAGCAGTCTGCACAAATCCTTCCTTCAGCAATGGGAGGAACATCTTCCCTTTGTCTCAGAAGCCAGGGAGGTCCTTGGCCTGGCTGCTGGCTATGTTTGAACCCAGCCAAGCAGGAGAAGCTTGCTTTAAAGGATCTTCTGGCATTTTGGAGCAATGTTTGTGCCACACCTGCTCAGTCAGGGCACTTCTGCTGTAGTAGGTGCTGAAAAACATAGGGTAGGTTTGCCCACACATTTGTGCAAGCCACAATGTGTACTGCAAGGTTTGGGTTACTATGGGTACGTAAAACAGATGCTGACAACATGTCAAGCCCCACTATAACCTGTGCAGACTGGCCAGGCAGGAGAAGCTCTTTAAAATAGCATTTATGGTGCAAATGGTGATGGAAGTTCAGCAGATACCACTGTAATTACTGGTACTTGCACAAAAGAAAACAGTCTAATGGATGCTGCTTTCTCACTAAAGTGTTCAGGGAGTCACAGCTTTGAAAATCCTAAAGAGCGTTTTTAGCAGCAAAAGGTGTAAAATGTCCGAGAGCCACCAGAGAATTGAAAGAGAGAAGACAATTATTTAATAAAGGGCTATGGATTGGGGGATCTCTGGCTTTAGTGGCTGAAGTCTCCCAACAGCTAAAGCAGTACTTACCTAAGTCTCACAAGAAGGAAAATTGGAAATCTCTTCCAGAAAAATAATTATTTGGTTCTGCTATACTTAAATCATCCAGCACCACTGATGCAGGGAGCTGTGTCTCCTCACTGAGGAGGAGAAAATGGGATAGATTCTGTCAATTATTCCGTTTCCCATTGGCTGGGGAGCTGCTTGCTGTCACTGACCTTAGGAAGGGGCATTGTGGAGCTAAAGTTGGGTTAGGACAGTTGGTTGGTGTTACTGTGGATAACTTCTTACACATTGCAAAAAGCAAAGTTTGAAACTACCAGGATGAAGGTGCTGTTGAGGAATGCACTGTGCATATGTGGTTTCTTTTAGAAGTTCACAGGACTAGAAGTACCAAAACAAAAGAAAGAAGGGAATGATGTGTGTGGCCAAAAAACTGCCCCAGGCAATTGTGTAAGCACACTTGTATTTATTGCCAAATAGAGGCTGTGGCTACCAAGGATGGTGTCATAGACACCTGTCAGTATGAGCAGTTTTAACTGGAACCCAGAGTTCACAGTGGAGCAGGTGACAGGAGGGAAAATAAAAATGGTTGCAATTTTCAGGCTGCATTCTCTGGGGGTGCTTGAGGTCCTGCTTACAGGAGCAGGAGTGCTGCCATGCATGCTGTCATCTTCAGTGGGGGCAGGTGGAAATTTTCATCAAGCTGGAATTGGTTTCATTTCCAAGAATACTTTGGATCTGATGCTTTAAAACCTCACAAACTCCCTGGCTACAGGGGCTAGTCCCAAACTTTAAACTTAGCATCTGCTTAGGAGCCTTGTGCTCACCTGCCTGCCAGCACAGCAGTTCCTTTTCCAGATGAGTGCTGCTGGATCAGCTCAGGTCAGGGAGGTGCTTCTGTCCCCCAGCACTGAAGCTCTGTTGCACTCAGAGGACCTGCCTAACGCAATGTAGGGGCCTGAAGTGGTTGAGATCTTTAAGGCCTGTTCTGTTCCAAAGAGATCATGGCTCCCTGTAGCACAGGTGGGGTCTTGGAGCTTGCACTAGTCCACCTGAGCCATCTCATCTGGTTCACTCTGTCATTGATATTCCAAGCCCAAGACTCACCTGCCCTTGCCCAAGCCATGAGATCTGGCTTGTTGTGACATTAACGAGTTTGGTGTCCTCTTGCTGCCAGTTCCCATGGAGCACAGGCTTAGATCCTTAAGCAAAATGGCTTTTGCCTGGACTCTGTTGGCACTCTGAAACCAACCCCAGATGTGCAGGATGCCTGACCATCCGAGTGTACTGCAGCAGAGATGCCTCACCTGACTGAATGGTGCCTCTGGTCTAACCTGGCCATGCTAACATGGAGCCCAGGGCAGGCTGATGGTGGATGCAGAAGTGCAGCTAATGGGGTTACCTGCTCCCAGGTCCTGAAGCTGCAGTTTACCTTGGAGTCTCTCTGCAGCATTGCAGTGGAGGCATAAAGAAGCTGAGACGTGTATTTGGGAACGAGAAGTCTGTTTAATTTGGGCCTGCCCTAATTGCTGGCATGAAATCCTTAATTGTGTCATTAAACTATAAAGATCATCAATATGCTTTGATCTGACAAATAAAGATGCCTTGTATTCAGGATGAGTCACAAATCTGTGAGTCAGGAGAAGCGAATGGATCGCAAATATGGCAATAAATGAATAGATTGGAGAGCACGGCATTTTGATGTGGCTAATCAAATTGTCTAAAAGGATTGAAGTGTGATGCAAGGCTTTGATGGGAAATCCAGGACAGAGCTTTTTAACTAATACTTTGTTTTTCTTCTTTCTGTACACAGACAACATTTCCTGTGACTCCATCGCTTGCAACAAGCCCCACAATGGCTTTCAGTCCCTACCTGAGTCATGTTTCTCCTGGGATGGGCTTAGTTCCTGCAGAGCTTTTACCAAATACTCCTGTCCTGGTTTCTGGAAATCCTACTGTTACAGTACCGGGAGGCTCTGCTGGGCAGAAACTGATGCGTACGGATAAACTGGAGGTATTTGGACATCTGATACAATACTGCTGACAGGGAGGAGCTGGACATGTGGTCCCAGCTGTTGCTCTCTGCTAAAATGACCTGATGCAGCACAGTACAGAGTTGAACTTGCAGCTTTACAAGCACAGAGCTGCTGCTCTCTGCCAGAGCAGATGCTTTTGCGGGGCCTTTTTCCAAATCCTTGGAAATTAGGGAAAACTCACTCCTCTGGTATCAGTGGGTATTAGAGCGGGGTTAGGATTGGTTTTTTGTATGTGATCTGTCATGCTTAAAAAAACAGCTCTTAAACTTTGTTGGGTGGGAGATGTTCTGGAGATAACAGATGTTTCCCTTTTCTAGAGGTGGGCTTATTGAGCTTTTACAGAAAGCTTTAAGCATTACACTGATGGGAGTGGAGAGTGTGTTGTTTTGGAAAGACGTCTCTCCCTCCCCGGTTGGCTGGATGTGCTGGGACTTAATGGTGGAGGAGTTGTAAATGTCTTTCAAACCCTAAGCAGAGACTCTGCAGGAGATAAGGGCTGAGGACCTGAATTCAGAGGCCCCTGCAGGTGTAAATTATAACACAGGAAGATAGCAGAGAAGGGTGTAATTTCAAAACACACTGTTTTGTGTTATGTACTTTATCTTGCCTTGCTGATGTCTCACCTTTCCCCACACTCAGTCTGATTGCACATTGGTACGTGAGCTACGCCACTTGCTATATTATTCAACAACTTCTCTCAGTTCCTCAGACAAGAAACCTTGCAGATTTTTTGTGAAACCTTTGCCTTTGATGCTTCAGTGGTCATAACTTATGAGGATCTGTGAGATCATAGTACGACTAGTAATTTTGGCAACACCTTCAAACACATTGCTGTGTAATCAAATGTGCTGTCACGTAATGCCAGGGTCGGGGTTTTATTGTGAAGGGCAGAGAGACTATTTGTGTGAAAGAGGCACCTCATGTTTAAGAAAAAGGACCTGTTGCAAATAGCAGTAGCATGTAACATTTAAAATTAAATGTCTTGCCTAGGAGTCTGCTCCATAACAAATACATAATCCAGGTGAGACACAAATGGCAGAGTCATTAACATTTAAGCTTTAGAGGCAGGGGAGGAGTTCTGAGCTGCAAAAGTTTTGTCAAAATGACATTGATTTTCCGGGGTCACTGTCCATTCTGCACAGATTCTGTATTTCACTTGCATTTGGTAATTGGCCTTATTAACATTGTGTTTTTTTCACCCCCTGAAGCGGTTGTGAGTAGCACCAGTTGCCCCTGTGTCTGTTGATACATGTATTACCCCAGATGAGCATGGATTTAGAATATACACATGGTTTAATGTGGCCAACTGAACTGATTGTCTGTGTTGAAAATACTGAATGAAGGGTAACTTCATGTTCTGCTCAACAATGTGACTTTCTTTTAAGGTTTGTCGAGAGTTTCAGCGTGGAAATTGCACACGTGGTGAGAATGATTGCCGCTATGCTCACCCTATAGATATTGCAATGATAGACACAAATGAAAATACTGTTACAGTTTGCATGGATTACATCAAAGGTCGATGCTCTAGGGAGAAATGCAAGTACTTTCATCCCCCTGCACACCTGCAAGCCAAAATCAAGGCAGCTCAACACCAGGTGAACCAGACAGCTGCAGCTGCAATGGTAAGTAGAGCTCTTCTCAAGCTGCATTTCCATTGCTAAGAGATTCCACGTGTCATATGTGTCATTTGTGGAAAAGTAGAGAGCTTTGTAAATGGCTGACTAGAGAGCTGAGAGCATGTGCAAGATGCATCCCATCTCTTCATCCTGTCTCTGTGCTCACCACAGCATGAAGCCCTCAGTGGCACAGTACATCTCACCAGGTAGGGACATGGTGCCCAGCCCTGTCATTTGCTGACATGACGTGTGATGTGACATGAATGCAAGCGCAGCAGCACCCAGTACCTTCCCTGGCTGAGTCATAGGGGTCAGTTCAGCTTCCTCAATACACAATATATCCTTTTCAGGGAGAACCTGGCCTGTTCTCTGCAAAAATCAGATGATACCAGTTCCCTGAGCTTAGCAAACTTCTGCCCGATACCTTTGCCAAGACTTAGGGAAATTACAAAACACAAAACAAGGGTGACTTCGTGACCTGTTTGATGCTTTGGACCTGGTAGAGATGGTCCCACTTGCATTTTAAGTTGAATTGTGATTACTTATATCTACAGTTCTGAACATGAGTCAAGGAAGTCTCGGCAGGTGACCCCTAGCTCATATAAATGTTTGCCATTCTGGCAATGTTTGGTTTAATGGGACCTGTTAATTCCAGAGATGAGAGAGCTGGGGAGGGAAGAAGAGGCCCAGGGGATCTTATCCATGTGCATAAATTCCTTATGTGGGAGGTAAAGAAGGTGAAGGGAAACTCTTCCCTGTGGTGCCCAGTGAAAAGATAAGAAACAATGGGCACAAATTGAAATTCAGGACATTCCATTTAAACATAAGGAAAAACTTATTTCCCAAAGAAAGATCTAACACTACAACAGGATTCTCCATCCTAGTAGATACTGAGAACCTGTGTCTGAACCTGAATGGAGTCTCAAGCAAGCTGCTTTAGTTGACCCTGCTTTGAGCAGGGTGCTGGTCTAGCTGATCTCTAGAAGTCCCTTCCATCTCCCTTAAGATTTCTTAAAATTTTTCTAATTAATACTAAAAAGGCTCTTCCTCTTTGATTTAGAATTAAGGCCACTAAAATTTTTCTAAATACATTTTTCTTTTTTTCTTTTAAGATAGTAAAGGAGGTTGCTTTTAATTCATAATGAAATTTAATGCAGAGCCAGGGCAGTTCTAGAAATTAAACAAGTGCCCTCCTTGTAGCATCAATATTACCTGGAATGTAATTTGAACAGTTAATTTATACTGCAGTATTTATTTGTCCTGGAGAGTTTATTTATTAGTTTCTTACTGTTTTTATTGTTGTTGAAATAAGAGTCCAGGTCTGTTGAAAAATAACCTTCTGAAATGAAACTCTTGTGTTCTTCACAATTGAATCTTTACTTTTTCACTAATTATCTAGGACACTGCTACTTAACCAAAGCCAATGCATGTTTTATTCATCCAGCTGGCTTCTCTTAAAAATGTAATTAACCCTGTTTGTATGCTGTTAACGAGAACCTTTAAAATATTTATTGATGGCTTGTTGCATCACCCCTGCTACCAAAACAGCCTACATTATTCATTGGCTTTTCAAGGTTTGATGCATTTACTGTACCTGTTGAGGTGTAAGACTTTATTGAAGGGAAGAAAGGTGCTCCATTTTCTTGGAGGGAAAAACAGATACCAGGTTATGGGTCTATGTTCTAAAGCAAGTTCAGAATGACTACAAATCTAAATTCAGCATTTCTGAGGGAGCCAATCCTGCAGTTACTTGATGTGCACAAGTAGCAGCTTTACTCACTCCTGCTTGGCTGAAGTCAGTGCAGCACTGGATGAACTGGGTAAAGCTCTGTCCCCAGTTCAGGACAGCACTTAAGCATGTGCTTGAAGCTCCCTCCTTTTCCAGTGGTCCTTCCCCCTCCGTGAGTGCTCTGCTGGCCTCTGCATGGTGTGTAGCTGCAGCATGAGGGCTGGAGCCCAGCGCCAGTCCCTGTGCCGGTGCTGATCCCTGAGCGCTCCTGCCCTGCTGTGCCAGCCGATGTGACGGAGCTCCAAAGCACGTGTCCCGTGATGACATTTCTTTACTTTTAAAACTTACCGAGGCAAAATAACTGACTTGCCACTAGGCCAGGTAATTACCCAGCCACCCCATGTTGTGCATGCCTCGTCTTTTTAATATATTGTATAACGCGTTCACTTTTTAATTTTTTTTTTCTCTTCGCCTTCCCAAATTGTTGCTCTCTTTTGACACACCTCTGCTTGCTGTTTTTGTTACTGTGCTTGATCCCCCTCCCCGGCCCATTGCCATCATGTGCTCGCTGCCTGCTAATTAAGACTCAGCCAGCTGTCAGATCACTGAAGCGACCGCTCGAGGCAACCTTTGACCTGGTACTTGGACCTTTCACCTTCTCGCTTTGCACGTAACCATCTTAATCTGCATGAAAGCCTTCTGCTCTTGGTCTGTGGTGTTAGTGCCTGGGGAGACTGCCCATCCCAGCCAGAAATGTTCAGTGTGCATTCAGACATGCCAATCCTGTGCCCCACATACCATCCATTAACGTCTGAGCTTTGCCTCCTGAAGTCTAGATGTGTTTTGGAGACAGTGAACAATCTCGGGGGGAGGCAGCTCTGGCTTTTGAAGTGTTTTTCCAAACACTGGCAGCTTTGGAGTCACAAGATGCAATGTTTGATGGAGAATTTAAGAATTTAGCTCAATAGGTCTGCAGTGTGCTCTAAATGCCAGAGGACTGGGTGGTTGCACGACAGATCCAGTGACTTTCCTTTGTATTCCCAACCTCACAGCCTTGCCTGGCAGTGCCATGCTGGTAACTGCCTTGCACAAGAGCATTCTGTGTAATGAACACAACTGAGATTTAGGGGGAAGAGGGCTAAACAGCATCCTCGGGGATCTGTGCTGGGAACTGAAGCAGGTGCAGTGTGGGACTTGACTCATGCATTGGGTAAGCTGGGGAGATGGCTGTTCCTTGAGCTGGCTCTGTCTGTGGTTCATTCCCCAGTGGGATAGTGTCAGCAAAGGGACCTCGCTCTGGGTGTCTTTTGCTTCAGTCTCAAGCATGGAGTCTCCTCCCTGAGCTTCTGCCTAAAAGCTCTTCATATATGCTCTCCTTGGTTGTTTTATGACTCTCAAATAATATGTTTTACTTGGCTTTATGATGCTCATAGTGAGGCAAAAGCCATCCTCACACTGCTGTCAGTCCTGGCTCCTTCCTTTTTACAACACATTTTAAAAGAAAGAGCTCCTGTTGCCCAGCTATAGCAGGGAGAGGGAAGAGTGAACACACAGGAGCTGTGAAACCATCAAGCTGATGTTGCTTCTCATTCCCAGAGCTAGGGAGGAGAAGCTGATCTGCTCCCTTTCCTCTCCAAAGACTTATTTTTTAAGTAGTCAAGAGGCTTCCTTATCAGAGTTTTAGGCAGCAGCAGTAGGAAGCCTTGCTAGTGCCCAGCTTCTGGCAGCAGTGGTGGGATGATGCTGTGAATGACATTGCAGCCTCTCACTTGCTCTGCTCACGGCTGACACAGACACGGCCCCAGAGCCAGCACGGGCAGGACCTGCACAGCTGCCCTCTCCAAGGGCCACCACTGTGAGGAGACACGGTCTGGCAGAGAGTGGGAGAGCCCATAACTGCTCCCCCACTGAACAAACCCTCCACGAGAAGCTGCTTGTTCAAGTCTGACACACGGAAAGGTTTGCAGCCTCTCGTTGGAATATGTCACCTCCTCTGAACCCTTCATGAGTGATCAGAGCATGTATGATCATGTATGAGGAAACTGCTCACTTTGCTTCTGCTGCTTGCCAGGGGACGGGTGCTACCTCTGCCCTCTCTCAGATAATTCTCTTTGTCATGCCTGGCAGCAGAGCCAGCCCCTCCTTGCTGAGTGCAGAAGGGTGAAAGTGTGATCTGGTCCCAGGAGATAGAGATCTGTGGGGAACTTTGAAGTGCAATTAAATTGTTTGTTGCAAAGATTTAATCCAGTTCTTGTCTTGCAGAAAATAACGAGAGGTTTGTTAACCAGCACGTGGGAAATTCTGACTTTAGCATGAAGTGTGTTTTTATCTGTCAGTCTTGCTGAAAAATTGCTTTCCATGCCATGCAGAGAAGTGGCACAAGCCTCTTTGTTCAGATGCTCATTCGAGCAGGAATGTGGCTTTCCCAGCCTAAAAATGGGAGGCTGCCTGGCATTTAATTAGTGGAATTTGTTAGTTTGGATCAGTGCAGGACTATCACATGGATACTGAACTGAGTTAACCCTTTCACTGGTGCAGTTGGCCAGATCCTGTTGCAAATGTTGTCTACCCATGTGTGCACACAAAAACACAGGGAAAAAATAGTCAGGAAAAGTTACTGTCCAAGAGCTGTTGCTGTAGTTGTGGTGGTCAGAGCTTGTCCAGAGGGAAAGCACAAGCAGCTGGATGAGGTAAACTCATCAAGTTCTTTACTAGGAAGATTTAGTCTAATTCCTCTGCTGGAGTGTGACACTGCCTACAGAATTTGGTGGTGAGGAGTTTCTGTTGCCTTTTGTATATTCTGCTTGTGGGATTCTTCAGAATTGAGACATTGTGCAAGAAAAAAATGTAGTATCCCCACAAGCTGCTACAGTTCCTGCAGGTCCTGAGTGATACAAAAATTGTAGCCTGTGTCAAATGAGACACATTTGTTTCGTCCTGTGCCCCTGCCAGCTTCCCCTGCAGAAGCTGTATGGGCCCAGCTTCATCATGTGCAGTTTTAGATGCCTCTTCAAGGCATTGTAGATGGACCTTTCAGTGAGCATTTTCCTGAGACTCTTACCTCAGCACACAGGCTGGAAAAGGGCTGAAGCCAGATTGTTCTGTCTCCTTGGGCCCTCCTACACCTTGGTATCAAAAACTAAAAAAAAAAATTAAAAAAAAATAAAAAAGATCAGTTGGCAGCAGGAGGAGCACATCTTCATGTATTCTGTGTGAACACTCCTGCAGCTGCTGGGGTGGAGGGGTGACCCACAGGGCTGGGTCAAACCAGAAGCAGATCAAGATGGGTTCCACAGAGCCCACGTGGGAGAGCTGGACATCAGGTGGCACAGGAGCTGCTGCAGAGTGCTTGTTTCTTTAGAACACTCTGGAAATATTGCATTTATTTGTTTTTCTCCACCGGGCTGCTGTTGAGGGAGCAACAGTGCGGCTGCCATAGTTCCTTTCTTTCCCTTGCTCCCAAAGGGCTGTAGCAGGTTAGGAGAGAGGGTGATGCTGGAGAGGTGATGGGATAGTCTGATGTGTCTTGACATCCCTGGGGCCTGATGGTGTCTGTATGCTCCCTCTGACTGCAGTGCTGGCCTTGGGAATTGTCCTGTGATGTGCTGGGGCACGACAGCAAGGTCTCAAAGCCTTCAGCTGTTCTGCTTTTGGCACTGCCAGTGTGGGGTTTGGGGTGGTGACAGCCTTTGGCCAAGAAGCAGGGAGTCAAAAGTCCATTATGTGCCTGGCACAATTGCTTTGCTATAATTAGTACATTCTTCTTCTGAGGCAGATTTTGGAAGTGTCTGAAAAGGATTATTTAGCAATTGGGTACCATAAGGAGCATGAGTTTAAGCAGCAAGTTCTTCAGTTGTTCTAAAGCTGTAAAACCTCTGTGATGTATATGAAACTACTCCAGACTGTGTAAGCTGCAGATCTGTCCTGTGCCTGGAGGAACATTCATGTAGCCATCATTAAATAGACAGTTGTAGATAAGAGGCAGATTTAACACAGATACCAATGAAAGCTTTCTTAGAAATGAAAACTCATACATTATCCTAAAATATGGATCTTAAATAAAAGATTTTGGTGTCTGTGTCTGAGAATATTGTCCCATCTTTGACTGCGGTCTTTTGGTAGCAGCCAGAAGAAATCTGGGAAAATGAAATCCTAGTGCTGAGAGTGGATGCCCACTAGCATAGGCAAAGGATGTGTGCATGTCTGAGGGCAGTTTTGCAAATGCGATTTATTCTAATTTTCTTTTTTAATATTTAAACCACCCAAAAGCAACCATGTGAGTAGAGATAGGATGGAGTAATGTTTTGCTTGGAAGTATGTTGCTTAACATTTCTCAGATGAGCAGTCTCCTATAGCAAATTAAAGTGAAACCTGTTTCTAGATGGCGACAAACTGTTGCAAGCTTTCACTTACATTCTGTTGTGTGTTGATCTTCACAATGCTTTAAAATCTCTTTACTTGTGTCCTTCCTTCCGAGTGTTGTGTGTTTGTAGCTTTAACCCTTCATCAGCCAAACCTTCTCCATTACCTGCCATTCATTTGTGAAATATTAAAATAAAAGTAGGAGTGATAACCCTGTTTTTCAGCCATTGCTTTGCTACATGATACAGACTAACAACTAGTCAGAAATGACCTGATTCTGCATGACTTCCACGTGCGTAAATCTCATTGACGTCAATGGGAGTGTTACGTGCTAAAGGACTGCGGGGCACAATTAAAAAGGACCCTTTTCTATCACAATGTGGAGGGAAAAAATGTGGTTTCTTACTTGGGTACAATGAAAAGCTGTAAATCATTAGAAACATTCCTGTCTCTTAAGAACCTGACATACTACTTTGCTGTTGAGACATGCTTGGATGAATGATGAGTAACTCACTGAGAAAAGTTCCTGAGTTGGGCTAATGCTTTTTACCAAGTCTGATCATGAAACAGGTTTGACGGGCTGGAAGAAGCCCGGTGGTGTGATAGAATGAAAAGAAGGGATTTGTCAATGGCTTTTTCCACTGTTAATAATGAGTGAGCAGTATTTGACTGATGGAGGCCACCTTCTGTAAAGTGGGATCTGGTCCAAATCTGCTGGTGGTGGGCTGTGCCTCTGGTGTGAGCAGTGGAGAATCAGGCCTGGTCTTGACCATGTTGCTCAGCCTCTCTACTAACAAGTGGAAATGCATTTTACTGTGAATCTAATGTTATGTGTGTAATTGGCAACAGCTACAGCTTTACCATCTGGACACATGGGTTGGCTGCACAGTGTGCATGCTTCCACACATGCACACATACATGTAGGCAGGTGTTGAACCAGAGACAAGCATCAGGTTTTTTTTTTTTCCATGGCATTTGTTGTTTATACTAATCTTCTTGGGTTTTAAATAGCCATCTACTATATTTTTTCCTGTTTGTTTTGGGGTTTTTAATGCTTGTTGCCTGCAACTGCTCGTTGTAGCATCCTGTCCAGGTGATCACCTCTCCCCTTCCTTTTCCCAGTGCTTTTTTCTCCCTGTGTACCCAAGTCAGTCCTGCTGAAAAGCTCCTTAGCATCCCTCCTCTTTCTGGACTCTGCCCCTCCTCCTGGTGCATTTACTAACTGCTTACCTAGTGAAGCTGTTGTTTCACCTACTACTCGTACTGTGACTTAGCTGCTCTTCTCTTTCCTGTCTCGTTAAGTTGATAGAGTTGCAGGTGATTTGCAGCCAAGACCCTCTGTTATTTATTGCATGCTTGACCTACACCTGGGCCCCTTTATTTACTCCACTTGTCTTTAATGACTCCCTTATCCACAGGCCCTGCCGCCTGGTGCACTTCAACCTTTACCAAAGAGGCCAGCACTTGAAAAAAACAATGGTGCCACCACAGTCTTTAACCCAAGCGTTTTCCACTACCAACAGGCTCTAGCCAACATGCAGTTACAACAGCCTACATTCATCCCTACAGGTAAGTGTCTCCTTGCTTTCCCTTCATCATGGTTGTTTATTTTATGACCTCGGTGTTCAGCTGATGAGCAGTTTTGTAAGAGTCTTTAGCAAAAGAATATTGGTGTATAGTTTCATGTTAAAAATGGATGAAAAATTAACATCTGTTGTTTGAGTTTTTTCCCTTCACCTTCTACAATTTAGAGCTTTTTACATGTAAAGATCCTTCTTCACCCTTTTTGTGTGGTTTGGGGTTTTTTTTAAGCAGTCAAACTAAGAAAAATGTCTGCATGTTTCTTGAATTCCTACTTTCTGTTTTTCCTCCTTATGGTTCAACTAGTTAATCCCAAATTAATTCTTTGACTCTTGCATAGTGCTCTTTTGGACTCATGTTAAAATGTCTGTAGACCTCTGTGCCTGCTCTCTTGAGGCTGTAGGCACCTCCCTGAGCTTGTATCTCACTGACCTACATATTGCAGCAGCTGTGATGTTTATAGAGGGAATGGTTTGTCTTTAGTAAATACAAATTATATAATCCTCTTTAAAGGCATATATTTCCCTCTTCCTTGTCTTTTGACCAGTACAATACCCTAAGCTTTTTAAAAGCAATTTAACTCCCAGCTTTTATTGTACCTTTCAGGTCTCAGAGTTAAATTGAAAGATGCAGTTCAGTAATTCTTATAGAACTGGAAATATTAATGTGGCAGATGTGACTGTCTTCTGACTGGCCAATTAACTGCAGCCAAATGAAAAACAAAACCTGCTTGGAGTGGAAAGTATTATAAGTGGCTGAATTAGAAATATTACATATAGCCCATATTTTAGTATCATTATTATCATTCAGCGTATCATAGGAAAATTAATGTCCTGTTTTGTTAATGTTTAATGCTGTATTTACTTGTCAGATGATACTTACAAAAATGCACAGAGTGTTTCTCTGGGCTGACCCCTGGAGGTGAACACACAGTGGACTTGCACCTTGGCACGGTTGTTCTTTGGAGTCAGGGGAAAAGCTTTAGAGACAATCTGGTCCTGAGGGCCAGGTGGAGTGTGGTCCAGGGAGCAGGGACCTAAACCCTGTGCTCATGTGGCCTCTCTGTTACGAGAGCCCTTGGAAACACTCAGAGCTCAGCAGCTACCAAGATGTTCTTCCAGGGAAGCGGGATCTCATGCGCAGAGGTGGAGCAGTAACCTTTTACTTGTGCTCTGCAAAACATTGGAAAGGCTGGGCTGAGCTGACCTTACCACAGCTCTGCCAGGTGCCAAGTGAAATACTTCTTCAGGAAACACGGACACCTTGGGGAATGCCAAGTCCCCAGCTGGCTACACAGTGCTCTTCCTCAAGGTCGCAGTTGCCAAAGTTGACAGAAGGACAGGCGTTTCTGATGGAGCACCATAAATGAGCTGTGCCCAGCCCTCGCTGCGCGGGGAACCGCGCTCACGGCAATGAAATTACACAAGGGCTGATGCATGACAGGGCTGCTTACTGGCACCTGCTCTGGCTGAAGACATTAATGCTGGGCAGAGCAGCACATTTCCAGTCAGAGGACAGATCTGTGATGAATTTATGTTACAAATCGGGCTCCGGGCTCGGCCTTGGCAGTGCTCAGGAAGGCAAAGCGGAGAGGTGGCACGTCACAGCTCTCACTGTGGGGAGGGGAAGGGAGCTGTTGCTTTTCTTAGTATCTCCTGTTCAGTTGTTGAGAGATCAGCATCATGGGTTGCCATGGCAGGGGGGAGTCAGGCTGTCTCTTGAAAATGGCATCACCACTGCAATTTTTTCGAGTCCAGAAAAATAAATGCCTCTTTCAGCTTAAACCAGAGACTTTGAATCACAGTCCCTGGTTGCGGGAGTAAATTGCTTTTGGAAAGTCAATTTTGACATGAGTGGGACATTCTTCTAAGGGCAATTTGTTTTCTGTTGACACGATCAGAAAGAAATTACCATACCCAATACCCAATATATCCCAAAAAACCCTGATTTCTGGGATCAATCATATAATTTAATACCAAGGTGGGGGGAGTTTATTCTCTACTACCCAAGAATTAAAGAATTAATTTGGTTTGCTATGATCTCTTAAAACTGAGTTTAAACTATTGATGTACCAATATGCAGAATCTGGTTGCATGTGCTTAAATACTGAATGCTGCAAAGAGAATACCTGCTTTTTAGTTAAAGTGATATCTAACACTGAAGCTTCACTAATGAAATATCCCTTTTGTTCATCTTTCCACGCTTCAATGCATGGTGTGCAGGGTCAGTTCTGTGCATGACACCCACTGCAAGCGTTGGTAGGTTTTTCTACACAAACTTCTCAACTTTTCCTAATCTGAAAGAGACTGCAAGTTAGTATGCATCAGTGAGAACCTGGGTGGCTGAGTGGTGTGACTGTCTATCTGCTGTCTTCTTTGAGGCTTAAATGGTTGTATCCCTTTTAATTTCTGTGCAGTGCAGTGTTTCATGTGACTTACAATAAGAGAATCCAAGGTGATGTGTTCCCACCCCTATTTAGTTCCGCTTCAGAGACAAGAATCTGTCACTTAAATGTCTTTACAACCCATTTAAGTAATCTGACACAAGGAAATAGAAGTGGGAGGATCCTGTTGGCTTCTTTTTGTTTTATTTTGTATCAAGCAACAGGCGGACTTAAGTTTGGATTTTTAGTTGTCCTTCTGAGGATATTTTAGGAGACTGGTTTAACAAGGTGCTAAGGAGGGACACATCTGGGGTCAGCCCCTCTGCCAGAGCAGGGTGCTGCTTGTACAGTGAGAGAGGCAGGGTTTGAACCATGGACTGGCTGGAGAGTCGTCTCTGTAGGGCAGTGTTAGGTGTGCAGGTACAGGAGATCATAGGGAGTACCACTGCAGGTGCACGTGGGGTGCAGGGAGGCAGTGAGTACGTGCTCATTAGTGCTGCAGGGATCCACTCTGTTCAGGCTCAGCATCTGGGTCTTGATGAAACCTCTGCAGGCCTTTGAGGACCTTCCCCTCTTGTCTACAGCTGCTGGGCACAGCAGGGCGGGTGAAAGCTGAGCTTTCATCCTCTAGCCAAGGTTATGCAAGACTACCAGCATCCAGGTGTGTGCCTGCTTTAGCCAGAGGGAGAGAGGCAGGAGCCCTGGGTGGGGGTGCAAGGCTTTCCAAGAGCAGGTCTGGAAGCTCTGGCATGAATGGCTAAACACTCTGCTCTTGAACCTGCCTGTAGTACAGGGAGGACACATCGCTTGCATGACGGGGAGCTGAGTCCTTCAAATACAGTTCTGCCTGTTGGAAACCCCAACCCACACGTTCCAACATCTCCTGGCCGGAGCGTGCCCAGCCACAGGCACACGCTCCATCCGTGCTGGGGCTGCCCGTGGCTGCTGGGGTGGAGGGGAAGGCAAGTCTGCTTCCCCACCACATGTTTGTGGGGATGGCTGGGCCTTCCTGCGGGCTCCTCGACCCCACAAACTCCCCGGGTTTGGGGGATGCCCATGTGTGCAGCAGAGCATCCCTTGCAGCACTGTGCTCTGTGGGACATGCAGGTTCAGGAGGCTGCCAAGCTCCCTGCTGCCGTGTTGTCCTTTTGGATGCTCTTCCTGCAAATTGTAGCTGTTCAGATGCATTTGTGTATTTTTCCCCTCTCTGTCCCTTCCCCTCTCCATCCCCCCACCCTGCAAGAGGGGAGTTTTGCCAAACCCTATAGAACGAGGGTGGAAAGGAAGCATGCTGAGTTTGTACGGAGAGAGCTCAGTCTGCCAGCCGCTCGTTTGCCGTGCCTCCAGCTCTGTCCCGTGCCGAAACATTGTCCCTGCTAGAGAGAGGCGAGAAAACCTGGTGAAAGGGCTGCGGCAGCCGCTGCAAAGTGCATCATGTACCTCTGGTTGCTGGCGGGGACGGGGTGGGGAGGGAAGGGGACAAGCTTTCCCAGGCGGGCGGGAGGGTGCGCTTGCCAAAATGTCCCCACCCAAAGGAACGTGCACTGGCTGTGTCTAACTCCCCACGGGTGCGAGCTGACGTGGGCTTTTGCTAGCACACCCATCCTCTCCCCCCTTTGGAAATTTGGCCCTCGGAGTCTAATACATCATTGTTCTGCTTATAAATGTACTAAGTGTTGAGAATGTTTTGGTTTTTTCCTTAATTATAATTGTAATTGGCTTTTCCCCTTCTCTCTTGTTTATTTTTTTTCCCAACGCTGTCTTGCTTTGCACTGTGATTGCATGCTGCGCCCCGATGTGTCCTTCATGACGATGTCACATGGCTTGTTGCTGTGATTCCTGCCACGCCCCCAAATCCACCACATGTTGCCATGGTTACATAAAACCAACCAAACAAACAAAATATATATACGCTCCACCCTCCTGTATGTCGCTTCCATGGTTCCCTTCCGAAAGTGCCCATGATGCACGGTGCTACGCCCACCACTGTGTCTGCAGCAACAACTCCTGCCACCAGCGTCCCCTTCGCTGCAACAGCTACCGCCAATCAGGTTTGGCCCTTTCAATGGCTTTCTTTCACGTGTTCAGATCTCGAGGACCGGGCGAGGGCTGGATCCCGTGCGGGGTCGAGCGCCGTCCCGCCCGGCTCGGCGCAGGCTGGGGCGCGCAGAGGCAGCGTGTGCGTGTGTGAGGCTGGGGATCCGAGAGGGGCCGCTCCTGCCGCCTGCGGGATGGGCGCACGCCCGGCCGGAGCGTAGGGATGGGCGATGGCAGGGGCGCAGGCTCTCCTCCAAAAACACACCTCCCCCCGGGTCCTCAAAAAACGGGCGGTGAGTCTCCCGAGTGTAGAGTCACGCAAGACCTGCAGCACTTCTGCTTTCAGTCTCAAGCAGAAATACCACCCCGAGCATCCTTCCCTGTGGTATTTTGGCTTGTTCTCTCTGGACTGGAAAGTGGAAGCGGAAATACAAAGTGGCCTCCCCCCACCACAAAATTGGATTCTAAAAACTACCCAAAAATCCCCCAAAACCCAAAAGTCGGGGTGAGATCATGAAGTGTAAAGTTTTTTTTATGCCGATAGCATGTCACCCATCCCTACAGAGAGGACTGTGGATGTGCAGTACGTGCCATTGTAGCACTGCCATAAGTGTACAGGATTCCATGCATGTCTGCCGAGCCATAATTCTCTCCAAAACTTTCCTCTGAAGATACTGAGTGTGATGGCTGCTTCTGCACCAGTCCTGAACTGTATATGCACAACCTGTCTTAGTGATGCGTCCTGATAATTTGGTGTGACACAACTTCTCCCAGTTAGACCAGAGACGTTTCAAACACTTTTAAAAAGATATTTCCCCCAGGACTAACTTTAGCATTTTTATTTGTCATGCTCTCAGATTTAGAGCTATTGCAAAGAAATCGGGGTGTCACTTTGCTCTGTAGGAGGCTGTTGTCCATTAAATGCCAGTAATATCTCTGGGGACATCCTCTAGGCTTTTGCTGGTGTGAGGTCATGAGGATTTCAGTAGGAGTTTTGCCTGCATAAGTCCTAGGCAGCGTTTACTGCTCGCAGTAGGAATTGGCAGTCTTTTTCTGTGCTTTGTTGTTATTTTCAGGTAGAGCAGGTCTTACTCAGACTTGTATTGGTCATGAGAGGAAAGCAGAAATTCCTGTGCAGCGTTGCTCTGTGGCTGTGTGAGTCCTGTTTAAGCCAGATAGTTTCAGGGCATTTCTGTTTTACTTGTAGTCTATGGAGTCAAAATCCCAGTACAATCACCAGGTACTCCACAAGGCATCAGTAGTGGTGCAGCTACATTGTACTTAATGGGTAGCAAAATAAAGACTTGGGAGTGGATCCTGTTTTATAAGACACTGATGTACATATTAACCTGATGCTGAAGACAGAATGAGCAGCTCAATCTCAAGGCAATGTTTTAATGTGTTGTGTCCTTTGTTTTTTTTTGCTGTAGATATCCCAGTTATCAGTAGATGAACTGAGTAGCAGCATGTTTGTTTCACAGATGTAGAAGTTCCCGATAGAACAGTAAGTTCCTTTTTGGTATTTCTCTTTATGGTGAATTGTTTTGTACATGGGCAATGCATCCCCTAAACACGGGGCTGGCTCAGGCAGAGGGGCTGAGCCCATGAGAACCCATTGGCCTCATGCTCTTCCAAAGGAATTCAACAGGAATTCAGCTGCTGCAGCACAGACACGGACCAGCCCTGTGGTTTATGATGAGTTTCCTGTGTCTCAAGTGCCTGTGTTGTGGTGGTTGCAGCCTCCCTGTGCATCCCCCAGTCCCATGGCTCTGTTTGCAGGTTGTTCTTGCTCTGCACAGCTCCCAGCTGCCTGCAGATGCCTCAGGGATTTGCAGTGTTGATGGCAAAGACTGTTCAGATAATGAGTCAGCTGAAAAGGTGTAACTTCTCTTTTGCTGTTAGTGACATATTTTCTTTCCTGGGGTAAGCAGGATTGGGTCAGCAGCAGCTGCTGTGCATCTGCAAGGCTGGCTTGGCCTGGGCAGAGCTCTGCTGGTCAGCTGCAGAGAGGGCCTGGCTCGTGGTGGGTTGGAGACCAGAATGAATGTCATAAGCAACATAGTCTTCACCCCACCTGCAGATCCTGGGCTTCCCTAAGATGATAGTTTTCTCTGAGAGGAGTGATGGAGGAATTTGTCCTTGGAGTTAGAGTACTGTTTCACAGCCATAGCAGCAGTGTCATTTTTCCATTGCTTTTCTTTGTGAATTTTAGCTGATGTTCATGAGCTAAAATCTCTGGGTAGTTTTAGTTCGTGACTGTGTTTTTTTACCTCAAGAGAGTAAAGAGCAGTTCAGCCAATTCAACAAGAAGTCTTTCTCAAAGCAGCCATTTAGTATACACAGATATGCAAACCCATTTCTTCCTTAGGTCACATATTACAGGCAAGTCCTTAAATACTGGAAATTAATTTGGCAAGCAATTCAGTAATATCTATTAGCAATCAACAGAAGCTACTTTCTCAGTGGTGGCCCTTATCTCTGCTGACCTTAATCAAATACCATATGTATACATGACCTGCTAACTGTGGCTGTGGACCCTGTTCATGAGGGGTGACACCAAGCTTGTCCACATCAGTGAAAATGTTCAGCTTAGACTGTGCTGCTGTTCCAAATGACAGACATGACATGTTAACCCATTTCCATAACATGTGTAAACCAGCCTGTTCCACCCAATAAGGAGATCGTTTGATTGGAAGAGCTTCTTCTTGAAGTCTTTAAGATTGTTTTCAGCATTTTTTCAGGAGACTCCCTCAGTGGGACTTCGGTAACTGAAACCCTCTCTGCTCTGACAGATGTTTTTCTTTTCCTCCATGGCTGAAGCAGTCCTGGTAGCCAGGATGATTGGTCTAGCTCTGCAGGAGATAAGTTATTGGGTCCTTCAGTGGAAGATTTTCATGAGTGCATCACAAAGGGGCAATTTGCTCCCAGAAAAGGGTCCCCTGAGCACAGGTTTCTGTGTCAGTGTTTTATCTCTGGGCTCAGTTGCCTAAATCCTTAGGATCAGATTTAATGTGACTGTCTAAAGGAAACAAGAGCTAACACAGATCAGGGATTCATTTGGCCCTCTCCTTAGCCACCCTCTACTTGGCATCCCATCCAAAAATGAAGATTGTTATTTGTTCACCTCCCTCTTTCACTATTTGCCCTGTCATTGTGTGAAAGAGAGAGTCATAAGTGCAGATTTAAGAGGATGCCAAGTTTATTATTGGCAAATTCTCCCTACATAAGAAAATTAATGGAATAAAATGTCTGTCTGCAACACACTAATGACAACTTCTTGGGCAACACATTGAGGATGTAAATGTATTAGGATAACTTTTAAAATATAGATGCATTAACTTCTCACTATTTCTTTGTTGTTTTTTTCTTTCCCCTGCAGCAGACCATGTTGAATTTCTGAACAGTAAAATTATGGAGCACCAGGACTTCTTGGTGGGAAGCTGCGCATGGCCTTTCTGTATATATTCCCCTCTTCCCTCTATCATTCTCTACCACCTCTACAGTAAGCCTGTTGCAGCCTACATGTTAACCAAAAACTGATCAATGGGAATGTCAAAAAAAAAAAAAAAAAGAAAAAAAAAAGCACTATAGAAACAATTAACAAACAGCGCTCTGTTATATGAGATATACAAGTAGGAAATTATAATAGACTTTTATAACACATTACTTTAACACACTTAATCATTTTATGACTACCATCATGATAAGTGCATCTGCACAGCGGACTGTTGGTTTACTGTATACTATCGATGGATAAATGTTTGTCTTGTTTTTAAAGTGTTATCTTACTGTTTTGTTTACATCATAGTCTATTGATTTGTTTTAAAGTGTACATCATTATCAAGTATACTCAATACCATTTTTTCATTATTGTTATGTCTTAAGTTTTCATATACTGTAGGTTTTATGGGGTTTTGTTTGTTTTTTACTAAAAATGTTATTGTGGGAAACAGGAATTATGTGCTTGAAAAACACGACACAGAATGTTCTGCCCTTTGCTGGATTTTGCTGTTAATGTCAGCTAAAGTTGCTTATGTTAAATGCTCCTTTTATCATTTAAAACTTGCCTTCAGATAGTCACCAAATTTTTAATACAAGTGATGTGAAAGGACAGCTATCATTTTAGTCCAGTTCAGGGTTCTTCTTTCAATACAATGAGCTGATTCTGGAAACTTTTGGAAAAAAAAAAAAGCCACAAAAGCCCAGGCTCAGTAAGGGGACAGGAACAATTTGCTCAGACAGGGGTAAGCATCAAGGGATTTCTGCAGCTCTGTTGTCCATTGAAGTGCATTCTCAGCTGCAAACGGCGCACAATCTCTCTCGCTGTTCTCGTGGTGCAGTCGAAACAAACAACAAAAAAACGGTGGTGGAGTGAGACAGCTTCAGTTGGGCAAAGCTCATGGCATTGGAGAGGAGCAGGTGCCAGCCGTTGGCTGGGGAGGGCCTGGGGCCGTGGCTCAGCCCAGGCTGGGTAGCACCGAGCCCTGGGGCTTGTCTCCACCAAGCATGCTGAAGCATTTTGGCCTGAAATCTTATATGTGTCTCTTGTTGAAATTTTGTCAGCATGCCCCATTTATTTAATCACTATTTTCCATAAGTGGGTGATTATTTCCCCCGTCCCCGTGATCTCTGGCCCTTTAAAGCAAACACAGCAGTAACAAAGCAGCAAAAAGCTCAGCATAAGCTTTCTGCTGAAGATAAACATTTGTCTTAATGGAGTTCCTGTCGGTCAGTGGATTTATTTGGCACCTTCTACTTGATCAAGAGCAATGTTTGTTGCACAACAAGGGCTAGTTCTCAATACCTCCTTTTCATACGCACGAATAAAACCATTCCAGCCCGTGCACCCTGGACAGCCTTGCCTGTCGTTATGCTGCGTTGCTGAACAATCTGGCTGCAGAAATGCATTTTGGTTGAGGATACTGCCAAATTCATCCCTATCATAGCTCTACAGTATCATTGGCATTATGGAAGAGTGGATTTGCTGCTGTAAATCCACAGACTCCATACAAGGAGAAAGAGAATCGAGCGAGAGGCCAGCTCACAGTGTCTGGAGGGGTGACCACCCCAAGCTCAGAGCGGTCCTGTAGAGTGCCAAATTCAGACAACCAGATTTTCATCTCTTTTCCCAGTTCCTTGGCCTTGGTTAGATATTCCTTGCCCCCCCTTTCTGCAGTATGAGCACAGACAGTTTGCTAGATGTGTATCTCCACGGGCCACAAGTGGTGGGGCACACCCAGGGCGCAGCCTGTGTGCCCCAGGGCCGGCTCTGACCATCTGCCCCTGGAGACTCACTCACAGCCCAAACCTTGGAGAGCCCAGCTCAAGAAGGCCTTGAGGAATCTTTTTGTTCAGTTCAGCAGACTTTGAACCAAACCCTGATAGAAAGGGGAAAAAAAACCATCCCCCCCAAGACCTCCTTTGTGGACCCTGAGTTGTGACAGTCGCTTGTGTCCGTGGATGTTCCCCAGCCATCTGTGCTCACAAGCAGCAGGGTGAAATCAGTGACTCTCATTTGTATTGGCGACCACATACCTGTTCTTTTCACCACTGTGTTTCTGTTTCCCAAAACCATAACATTGTTAGTGGAAAAAGTGGATTTGAGTACTTCCTGTTTGAAATTATTTGTGTATCAAAAATGGGTTTTGCACAACCTGTGCCAGTGCCTCAACAAAGAACAGAGCTGATCTTCTTAAGCCAGAAAGGATGCATTCAAGCTTGTATGGCTTTATGAGTTCAAGGAGGTTGAAATTTTTTCAGTGCTAAATGGATTTTTGTATATCTTGAAACTTTGATGTAACCTCCTATTTTATTTATCGACTTAAACATCTGGCATAGATGTGCATAGAATGTAAACCTAGAATACAGCTGTTTTCATGTCACATTTAAAGCACTGAAAAAAAAAGGCGTTTAAGGATTATTTTTTATTAAAGAGGTCCAATGAGGGATGTTCAGGGTAGTTATATTAGGTGCCACAACAGTTTTTATATTGCTGGCAAATTTAGAGTTAATTTGTAAATGAGTTTAAGGAAAGAAAAGCTTGAAGCACTAAACTTCACCAAATTCAAAACAATCTCGGCAAAAATGCCATTTTGAGGTAGCACTATTTAAACTAGTTGTGCAATGACTTGCTCTAATTTTCTTTGTTCAAGAAAGAAAAGAAAAAAAAAACCAGTCGCCAGACTATAAATTTCCTAAATAGACTATTACAAAGTCACCGAGCTAGTTAGTGACTCTAAACAAATGTCATAAAAGCATGAATATCATCCTTTATTTGACAAGAGATGTATGTAAGTTTGTTTAAATCAATATAATTTTAGTGACATTTTTATAAGCTTCCCACTTTCCATGAACCTATATTTTTTATTTATCCAAAGTTATTTCTCTTTGTCCATTTCTCTCAGCCTTATGCAAACAATATGCAAGAAATGCTGAAACTTGGATAAAACGGGTCATGCAGAGGGAAAATGAAAGCTGAGATTGATCATTTTCACGAAAAAAGGTTGTTAGTAGTTTCAATAAAAAGTACTACTACTAAACTGTAACATAAGCAGACAATAAAAGAGGGATTTAAAATAAAATGGATTCATAAAACTATTAAGATTATTTTTGTTAAATACAGTGTTTTTAGTAATTTGGAACATGACTTCACAATCAGCCGTGTTTTTTAGTTGGAAATTTTTAGCCGATGATTTTTGACTGTGTATTTTTGCATCGCAACGTTCTAGAAGCCGTTACCTCCCCGGGCTGCTCCCGCGCCGCCCCGCTCGGGTCTCCCCGAGGGCCGGCCCGGGGTCCCGCTGCTCCTCCTGTCCCCTGCAGCGGGGACCCCGCGGAGCTGGCACCGGGGCCGGGCGCGCCGCGGTGCCACGGGAGGCCGGAGCGGGACGCCGCGCGCCGGCGTTGTCCTGGGCCGGCAGGAGTGGCGCTAGGACACGCCGGGTACACAAGGATTGAGAAACTGGAGTCCTCGTTTTGTTTATCCCTTGTACATTTCACAGACATGAAAATTGAAAAAGGTGAAATTTATGAGGAAAATCTAATTTCCCATTCCTGTTGAATGGATTTAGTTTGATATTGACCTGATTTTACCATGTGCCTGTTGAAGGCCTTAGAGTATATACTGTATGTTAAAGACTGTAATAACTTTAAAAAAAAAATAGTTGATAGCCTAATCCAAATGTAAATAGAGCTACAACTCATTGTTACTAGGCTACAACGCATTAATTCATGTCATATATTTTCATTTCTCTACCATTAGTTTTTAAGGTTTTCATTATTGCTTTTTTTGATATCTTTAGTAACTAATGACTTTAATTTTGAAGGAGAGTTAGAGAAAGTTTAAAATTTTTAATACATGTATTCAGCCCATTTAGTTATATTCTAAACCAACACTGAAGCATGGTAAGGTATAGAATACAGTCCATAACTAGTTTGTATAGTTTACAGTTTAAGAACAAAATTAACTTTGTATGTAACTCCTACAATGATAGATTCATTGTTAACTAATTATATTAAGTTGTTGTTGCTATGGCAACAAAACTACAACATGGCTACCTTTGTATACATTATTTGTGAAATTTTCACATGTAAATTAAAAGTGATGTGTAACAGTATGAGCTTGTTAAAGGTACAGTTCGATACTGTCAGATAAAGATATGATTGAATATTTTTAAAATCCCAAAGTCCCATGTGAACGCTGAATTTGTGTCTTTAAGGTCACTTTTTCAGTCAAGAAGTTTACAACACATGGATTTAGAGTCAGGTTTTATAGCTTGTAGAAATTGTTGTGTGGCAAGGGTTATTCCACAGTATTTTCACTTCGGAAACACAGCAGCCTGTATTTACAGCGTAGTGACCGGTCTTGCTTTCATTTCACATCCATTCACACGGTGGGAATTCAGAATTAATCAGTTTCAGTACTGTAGCTTTGCCTGCAATTTTCTTTTCTCCAGAAATTGAACACTCACACGATTACGTTACGATCAGGGCTAAATAATTAAGCATATAACTATTTTAATACTAATTTATATTAGCAAAAACTGTACATAAGAAAAAAAATATTGTGGAATGACCCCTTAACAGTGTTGAAGATACAAATATGCTGCAGTTAAACTGATTCAGTTAGTGTACGAATGTGTGAGACACACCTTTTTTGCACTTATGTACATAGTCCACGAAAGAAATCCTTGGAACTTATTTTGAATATAAAAAGTCTGTAATAATACAGGAAAAGTTTGTAAAAGAGATAGGTATTACTAAGGCTTTGAAAAGGAGGAGTTTTTTGCTATAAAACTTATCTGAAAGCATGATGTTGCTTTGCTGTTGTAAAAGCTTTGTAGTTTGCCATAGCTTATTATACAGCAGACTGATAACAGGTCAGCTCCAACCTGCAGCACAGAGAATGGGAAACGGTGTGGAATTAATTAGTAAGGTCACTAGCAAAGATTCAAATTACTTTTTTTAATCAGCCTACATTTTCAAACCCACCCCAGGTCATGTTTCTGATAGGTTGTGTTCTCGGTGAATCCTATTAGGACTGGTAGGTCCATGGCAGCACACACACATTTTTCCTAGCACCTAATCCTATTTCTGTCTTGAAGTGTTTATCTGTGGGAGGTGACTGTCATTGTGGTGAGTGTTTTAAATCCCAGAGTGAATTTGAAATGTCACAACTTCTTGATTTATTTTTTTTAACCTTTTGGGGCAAGGTAACAAAATGGAAGGAGCTGGTGAGCCATAGGTGGGCAGGGATGGGTTGGGATTGTCTGGGAGCAGTTCTTTCTGCTGTGTGACAGCCATGGTGTGATTTGAGAGGCACATGGTGGTGCTGCTGGGACAGGGAGGTGGAGGCTGGTGGCAGTGTGGCCAGCTGGGTGCTCCAGGCTGGGACTAACAGACCCCTTTGAGCTGCCACCACAGGAGAGCAGAGAGCAAAGCCGTGGCCCCTCGGTGAGCAGCCTCTTGTTCCTGTTTGTGTTGGTACTGCTGGGACTCTGCAGTGCTGGGGGATTTTGGAGCAGCTGAAGTGCCTGTGTTGACCCATTTATTTTTGATTAGAACCAGTTTCAGTTTTTGTTGCATTTTTTTGTACAAAACCCAGCCCCAGTTTTGCCTCAGAAAAGTAACTGGTTTTGCCATGGGTCTGGTCCTGACTCGAGCAGTGAGGCAAGTGCCCCAGAGCAGAACTGGTGGGAGGTGGCATCCGATGTGACTGTCACCCTTTGCTGGATGCCCCAGGGCTGGGGGCTGAGCTGTTGCTGCCGAGCCCAAGAGCTGTTCCTTGGCCAGCATTCCCAACCCCTGGCAATGCCAGTGTGTGCCCAGCCAGCCCACTGCACCACGGGGCTGTGCAAGTGGTGGTTTGCTGAATTGGAACAGCCCCAGGGTCTTTAAAATCAGGAAAAATCAGATGTTGCTTCTCTCCGTGGTGTTATGTAATAACCTAGATTTTAATACGAAATAATCAGCTAGTTCAAGCCACCACACGATTATGGCTTCCCTTTGCCATCATCAGTTTCTATAATCAAGTTCTTTCTCGTTTCTAGGATTATGAGAGAAAAATATTTTGCACTATGTGAAATGAATCATAGCTGGTCAAACTTTGTCGGGGTATGAGCATGATCACGACAACACTGCTTAAATCTTTGCTAGTGATCTTTACTGACATCCTCTATCATCAAAAATAACTCTATATGCCTCTCAAAGGAGATATTTAAACATGCAAAATAACACAACTGTTAAATAAAATGAAGTTATTTTTCCAAACACACAACAGAGAGAATTACCTGACACCGAATTACAAGGTTCCAGTTCTTTATTACTGTACACAGATGCTATTTGATAGTGGTGGAAGCCAAATGATTTTGTTGCCATGGCTTTTGTATCCTAGCAGATGAGGGGATGATAAGACCATTCTTAGATCGGATTATGGGAATTTTTTTTTCTTTCCAATTAGCTTTGTTTTAGTTTTTTTTCTTAGATCATGAAAATGAACCGACTCCTCACCCTTTATTACATCACCTGACAAAAGATCACTATTTTTTTTTTATAAATAGAGACTTGTATTTTAGGCAATCACTAAAATCAAAGAGAGAATGTTCTCCTAAATTGTCAATTTTTAATTTAAATATATAAAAACATTTATACTGTACTGTGTAAAGTAGATCTTTGAAGCACATTCTTCTTTTCATAGGCATTTCTGGTAAAACAATGTAAGGGAAACATTAGATATCAATTTAATGGAATAGTTTAGAAAATATATACAAATGATTACACTTAGCCCTGTGGAATTGTAAGAAATTAAAATATCATTGGATCCAGACAGGCGTAGGTTAATGCAGTATTTCAGTTCCATAACAGGATAGTTCATTCCCTCAACTGCTACCAACAGGGTGTACGCTTTGAATTTTATGTTTCTTTTTGCCACATTATATTGCTGTAGTGCTTGTACGTGCTTTAGAAATGTGCATAATGCTACTCATTTTAGTATGTTACTTCTATATTGTTATTGTTTATTTTTTGATCTTTTAATAAAGTGTATAAAATTCTTGGTTATGTTTTTTATGGATCCATATCTACACATTAATAGGAGTTTACTTTAAAAACTTTTCAAGTTCCAGTTTATTAGTCCCAAACTTCAAAGATTCTGATGTAAAAATAATAACTAATGAATTTGAATCAATGTTATATCTGAAGTGTAGATCAACAGAATAAATTTCTTTCCAGAAAATACCTTCAGTATTTTGAATTCTGTAGCCAGTGCCTCCTTTTTACTGGATGCATTTGGCCTATCATATTAAAGTTACTAACACAAGACAGACATTTGTATTTTAGAAAAATAAAAAGTAAAACTTTCCAGATGCTGCCTTTTGGTTTCTCTCGTGCCTTAGACCTTTGGAGACACGTGATGTGGTCTGCTTGGCTTTTCATGTTTCCTTTCTGACCCTGTCTGTGATGCGATTGGAGAGGAGATCAGAGCTGTGCATTGAAGATAACCACGGAGAATGAATCAACTCCCCTCCAAAGGCCTGCAGCTTTTGTAGAACAGTGCTGTGTGTATTAATTTTTCTCTTTCAGCATTCGTGTCAGGTACCATTTTGAATGTCCCAGTGCAATAATACAACAGTGAGCTCCCCTTTGGCAGCAGCCTGCATTCCCCAGCTCTGTTCCAAGTGCCCAGCTCGTCCAGCCAGGCTCACACCTCCAGCCAGCACAAACTGGGGCTGCCTCTCACCGTGGTCTGGAGCCACCCTGGCTGAGCTGGGTCTGGGCTGCTGCAAGAGAGAATTGCTTCTTGACGAGCTTGTTTGTGCTTTCTGTAACGTTGTGTAGATTTAGACGTAAGAAAACTGCTCAACAGTGAGGCCAGCTTGGTCACCACCTTCTCACCAATATCCCTGCGTCAGAGGGCTTTTACCCTTACGCTGCCTGGCTGGCACCACTTGCTGCATCAAGGCGTTAAGCTGGAGGCACCGAGCCAGGACACGAGGCTGTGCCAGGCCACAGCGTCACTCAGCTCACGGGGACAGAGGACAACGTCGGGAGCCCCAAGGATGTAACTGCCCAAGGATGTGAGTAACTGCCCCCAGGGTGTGAGTAACTGTCCCCAGGGTGTGAGTAACTGTCCCCAGGGTGTGAGTAACTGCCCTGAACATGTGAGTAACTGCCCCGAGGGTGTGAGTAACTGCCCCCAGGGTGTAACTGCCCCTGTGATGTAAGGTGCCCTGAGCATGTGAGTAACTGCCCCGAGGGTGAGAGTAACTGCCCCCAGGGTGTGAGTAACTGCCCCCAGGGTGTAACTGCCCCTGTGATGTGCGAGTTGCGAGTGGCAGTGCAGCCTCGGTGTGAGTAACTGCCACACGGCTGTGACGGGACACGGCTGTGACAGGACACGGCTGTGACAGGACACAGCGTGATGGGTGAGCCTGGATGTAGCCAGAGGAGTGGTGCCAGCATGAGGGAGTCCCCTCACAGCAGGGGAGGGATCCTTGGCTGTTTACCCAAAGGAGTTGAGGAATCTGACTCTTGGCGCTTGGGAGAGGGATTAGGATTGGGAGTCTGAGAATGTGTTTCAGGGGATGTGGGAGCAGTAGAGCTGCTCTGGGCAGGAGTGCTGGCCTGGGAGAGGCTGGGCAGACACTGCTCAGTAGGACAAGCTGCTGACTTTGAGAACAGACAGACCGAGCCCAGGACAAATTATGTAACTGCTGCTTTTTCATCAGCCTGTTCCCCTGACTTCTCCTTGCAGGTTAATTGACTCTATTTGTGTGTCAAGGCCACTTAGAGCTTTCTTCTATAAATGACTCCTGCCTCATCTGATGGCACAGTTAAATGTCTGAATTGTTTCTAAGATCAAAAAAAAGTGGAACTGAAACTTTTCTAGGCAGTTGATGTGGAAGCATGGGATCCTTCCTGAATGGTTACTCATATTTTTTATTGCTACCTTTGGTCTGGCTTTCTTTCCATGCAGGATGGAGACAGGGGCTTTCAAGTGATGCATTTTATGGAGATTTGGGATGGGCTGGGCCTTGGCTGCCTGGAGACACCAGCTCTGCTCAGAAGCCTCCATGGAGGAGGTTTGGGGTTGGAGTCCCACACTAGCACTGAAAATTGAGGGTAGTCCATCAACAAGAGACTCTAAATTGTGTTTCAAGGCCAAACAGCATCCTTGGACCAGGGATGTGGGATTTTACCTGGGGCCCCTTTGCAGAAGTTACTGGAGGAGCTGCTGCAAACTGCTTTGTAGGTGGAGTTGGATTAAAGGATCTGACCAAAATTGTTCATGATGCTCTATTTACAGCATGTGTCATTTTGAAGTCTTACAGCACCTGGTCCATCTAGTTTTTCATTGGGGCTTGTTTGTGCAGGAAAGTCAAGTTTCATACAAAAATCTCTTTTAGCTCTTTGGCTGTTGAAGCTTCAGTGGGAAACATGGGGAAAATTCAGTTTTTCAAGACTTGCTCCATATTCAGATGGTCCAAATCTAGTTTTTATTCAATCTGGTCTTAGTGTTGGATAAATAGATCAATTTAATCTATTTATTATGAGAAATAAGAGAATGGAGAAAAGTTTGGCTAATCCCCCATGAGTTGTGGATCTAAAATACGCTCTCCAACACAAGCAGCCCTTAACCTTCCCTAGCAGGGATCGTGTCAGAGTGCAGGGCAGTGTGAGGGGCAGCCTGTCCCCTCTCACTTGTGCTCTGAGCTGTTACTGCAGACAGTGGACTCAGGTGCCTCCTCCAGCCCAGGTGAGACGTGCCCTGAGTGCATCTCTGAGATGGCAGCACAAGCCAAAGGACCCCTGTGAGTGGGCTGGGAGGCCTCTGAGCTGTCTGTGGACAGGGAGACAGAAAAAGCCACAGCCTGAAGGCCATGGGAACAGGCTTGGAGGAGCAGCCACCCAGCTCTGATGGGTCCCAGCAAGGCCTGGCTCAGTCAGAAGATGTTTGCTTTGCCCTTCCCTCCTCCTTTTGCCTTCTCTTCAGTGGGAAACATGGGAAAAATTCAGTTTTTCAAGACTTCCTCCATATTCAGATGGTTCAAATCTAGTTTTTATTCAATCTGGTCTTAGTGTTGGATAAATAGATCAATTTAATCTATTTATTATGAGAAATAAGAGAATGGAGAAAAGTTTGGCTAATCCCCCATGAGTTGTGGATCTAAAATACGCTCTCCAACACAAGCAGCCCTTAACCTTCCCTAGCAGGGATCGTGTCAGAGTGCAGGGCAGTGTGAGGGGCAGCCTGTCCCCTCTCACTTGTGCTCTGAGCTGTTACTGCAGACAGTGGACTCAGGTGCCTCCTCCAGCCCAGGTGAGACGTGCCCTGAGTGCATCTCTGAGATGGCAGCACAAGCCAAAGGACCCCTGTGAGTGGGCTGGGAGGCCTCTGAGCTGTCTGTGGACAGGGAGACAGAAAAAGCCACAGCCTGAAGGCCATGGGAACAGGCTTGGAGGAGCAGCCACCCAGCTCTGATGGGTCCCAGCAAGGCCTGGCTCAGTCAGGAGAAGTTTGCTTTCCCCTTCCCTCCTCCACCAGGGTGGCTCTGCCAGTCTTTAGCACCACTGTTCCAACTGTCCTT